AAAAAAGTTGCCCAATCCCGAGAAAATGGGTGATCAATGATTATCCTCTATTAAATTGTATTACAGCAAAAAAATGGGAAATTCTGTATTCAATTACAATAAAAATGACTTGCATCATCGGAAAGCGTACAAAAACCGCATATAAGACTTTTAAACAGTTTTTTGATTTTTCAAATAGTCTTTGAGTTATTGCTGTTTTAAATGTGAAAATTGGACAAAAACTCGCAATAAGGACTGGGTACTAGGTCAAAAACGCGTTTTTGACAGCGTATAACTCGAAAACAATTTTAGATATTAAAAAAACTGTTTAAATGTCTTATATGTAGGTTTTTGTAAGCTTTCTGATAATGCAAGTCATTTTTGTTGTAATTGAATACCAAATTTTACATTTTCTTGCTGTAATACAATTTAATATTTTTTTGCTAGGGAATAATAATTAAAGTTTTTTGCTTGGGAATTTTTGTGGTAATTAAGCATCTATGGTACTATGAATTGAACCACAGAAAATCTATTTCCAAGGAGGGTGCCACGAAATTGTCTAGGAAAGTCTAGGCACTTTTTCGCACAACAGCCCACGGCCTATATCCTGAGTCTGCAATCACGGCTTCAATTTTTCAATTGCAGAATAATTAGATGCACTATCTAGTGCAGAACATAAGTACATCTATGGTAGGTAGTCAAGAACGTGTACTAGTTATACAGTAAGATGGTGTGAATGACGACGGTCCTTGAATCTGGATATTAGTTGTCAACTAAAATTCAAGCCCATGCATGAATTCTCATCTGTCAGGAAAATGATTTGCAAGATCTCAGATAATTTGCCTACGATCGGTTAAGACTCAAGATATTTTATTATTTATCAGTCAAAAATACAGAAAAACAGTAGTGATCAATTTATACCCATTAGAACTTTCCAATAAAAATAGCTGACCAATGATCACTTCAATTAAAATATCGGTGACCCTAATTTGTAACAACGCTGTTTTGGACACCCCACTTAGTTATATTACTTACATGTTTGAAATTCAGGAGTTATCGTTACACCCAATTGCCAGCCACAAAATCCAGTGTCAAATGTACAGTTGAAACTTGCACTGGCTAAATTTAAAAATAAGTAACTGAAATTCCAATAAACATTACGGAAGGCCTGATGGAGTAAGATTATACAGAAATTTGCGTATTTTTGGACTGGGAAAATGGGATTTGGATTACTGGGACTGGGAATCATATAGATACAAAAATAGGAATGGAAAAGCCTGCATGCCATTATAAAGACAGTTGTAGTTTGGGCATTTCAGAATGAAAAATTATGAAAAGCTACAGAGCAATTATTATAGATTGAGAATTTGTCTAAAAAGTCTAAGAATACTGCATTAAACCGATATACGACTCGATGATGTAATTTCTCTGATATTTCACGTCAGTGCATTCCTTATGTAGGGCCCCTGCCCTTAGTTGTATGATTACGCAAGAATCACGCGTGGGACACTCGCTGCTCGCGGGACAATATAGATAGAAACAGTTGCTTCGAGCACATGTAAAACGAGAGTTTATATACTGAGTTCACATTTTGTTAGTAATAAAATATATATCTTTTGCAATCGTTATGTTCCATACGTGAAGGGAAATAGGAGTAACATTTTGGCGCCCAACGTGGGGCTGTCAAAAAGGGTTTTGACTCTGCTGTATTTGTTTATACTATGGAGAATCTTGAGGAATTACAACTAAAAGTGGAAGAGTTACTTTATAAAAACGATGTGGATGTGTTTTTGACAGCGGCCGAGAAGTTAAAGTATGAAAAGATCGAAGAATTGAAGGAAAAGTCGAGGGGTCAAGTCATAAATTTTATAGTACGGAGATGGCTTCAAGAAACTGTCGAAGGAATTGAAAGCCCGACGGCGAAAAATCAACTTTTGAACGATGTCTTTTTAACGCTTGGTGGCTCTCCTGAATTATCGCCAGTAAATGAGAAAGAAGGAGAATTGTCAAAGTTGCAACAGGAATATGAACAGTTAAAAATGCCAACAAGAGAAACAATTGTTAGAAATGCAAGGGAAGATAGATAAATTGGAAAATGGAGTTAATGATAAAGCTACCAAAGTCAAAGTGAACAGTAGTGTAAACGCATCAGTGATTAAAGTGCCTTCGAGTACCCAGGCATTGTTGAGAAAAGACTTTAAGATATCGGGGCAGATTGGAGAACCAGGACAAGCAGAAAAACTGACATATATCTCTCTCAATCACCAGATTGAATCAGGGCTCAAACGAAAATACACTGAGGATGAAATTGTCGATGCAGTAATCCGAGCTATTTCACCACATACAAGCCTCCGTAGTTACATTAATTGAGACAATTCCAGACCTTGGTCTTCTCCTGCAACTACGAAAGATCTTAAGGATCCATTATTGCGAGAAGACAGCTTCGGAATTGTACCAGCAACTAAGTACAATGTGCCAGAAACCCAAAGAAAGTTGCAACAGTTCTTGTTAAGAATTATGGATGCAAGAAATAAAGTTGTTTTTGCTAGTAAGGAAGCACACACTGATTTCAATTATGGTAGCCAGTTAATCCAGAATACTTTTCTGAAAGCCTTAGAAACTGGAATTCGTGATGAGTATCTGACAACTAGCTTACGACCAATTCTGCGAAATGACGGGGTGTCTGATGAGGAACTCATGCGAAGCATCAATGAACTTGCCTCCCAAAAGACCGAGAGAGAAAACAAACTTGGTTTAACAGAGAGGCTGTATGCGAAAAGTGCCAAGGTGAGTTCTGTTGAGGGGGCAAAAGGGAAAAAGGGGACATACCCAGAAGCCAGTGAAAAACAGGACCTCCTCATAGAGATTAAGGGAATCAAGTCTGAATTAATTAAGTTCCCTTAAAACAAAGGTTGAGGAACAGGTGTCCAAGAGTAATGCACCCTCTTCCAGCCAAGATATCCACGGGGTTGCCCCAAGTGTAGGAGAGAAAACAATGGAAATACTTGCAGACATTGTTTTATTTGCTGTCAGGCTGGAGGCAGTCACTGCCCACAGAGGAAGGCGGAAAACGAACAAGTGACATTTCCGAGGGACAGGAGATGGCCAAGAACATAGAACAAACGTCCCCTCAATGTGCGTTTTGCAAAAAACTCCAAGTACATGTCACTATCCTTTGTTGTAAACAATGCAAAGCTGTTTATTATTGCGACAGGGAATGTCAAAGGAAACATTGGCATGATCACAAAGCAACATGTGTTGCCTTGCAAAGCATTAATCACAAGGATATGAAAGACAATGCAGACTTGGAATTCTTTGCAACCCACCTGACTCCAAGTCAACAGAATAAACTGGTACAGATAATTGGTAGAAAATACATAGTATTGGGGAAATTAGACAATAAAGAAGTTAATGTGCTTTGGGACACTGGGGCCCAGGTGTCTATGGTTTCAAAAAGGTTTTTGAGACAAAGTCACCCAATAAAACAAATAAGAAGTTTGTCGGAACTTGTCGAGACTGACCTAAAACTCACAGCAGCAAATGGGAGTGTTATACCATACATTGGTTGGGTTGAATTAGCATTTATCTTGTCTTCAAAGAACAATCAGGTGCGCGTGCCATGTTTGGTTACAACTGAAACAATTGAGTACCCAATAATAGGCTACAATGTGATTGAAGAAATTGTGACAAATGAACACAATGATTTACTGTCAGAGACTCAATCTTCATTTGTCGGACTTGACAATGGTGCGGCACAAGCATTAATTAACTGAGTTCAAAGTGCTGACAGTGATTATTTATGCAATGTAAAAACAAGCAAAAGAGACGTTGTTATACCAAGTGGTAAACAGGTAAACATTCAGTGTCGAGTTAATACAGGTCTAATTTGTGGGACTACCCCAGTTTTATTTGAACCAGATGAAACAATGCCTTGGTCCTCCTGCCTAAAAATCAATGAGACATTGCTAACAGTAAAGAAAGGGAAGACTAATTTTATCGAAGTACAAGCGAATAACCCAACAAATCATGATATTGTTATTAAGCGACGGACAGTGTTAGGACGATTACAACTGGTACGGTCTGTAACTGCAATACCAGTAAAATTGAGAGAGGAAACCATTGAGAATGGTTCTCAAGTAGACCAAACTTGTAAAGTTAGTGAATGTTCTGTTGCTTTCACTGATGAAACCCAGTCCGTGGTGGGCATCCCTGATCACATAAAAAACATTGACTTAAAGGGGTTAACACCAGAACAAAGATCAGTTGCGCTAAGGATGTTAGCTCAAGAAGCTGACGCATTTTCACAGAACGATGATGACATTGGGTGTATCCCAGATCTGAAAGTAACAATCAAATTGAGTGACGATCGAGACACCAGTACAAAAGAACTACACGGCAGTGCCAAGACCGCTTTATCCTGAGGTTAAAAGTTATGTTGAAGATCTCTTGAATAAGAACTTTATCAGGAAGTCAACATCCCCTTACAGTTCGCCTGTAGTATGTGTCCGGAAAAAGGACCAAACGCTTCGGCTCTGCATCGACTATCGAGAACTAAATAAAAAAGCATCCCAGATCACTACCCTATACCCAGGATCCAAGAGACACTTGACAGTCTTGGGGGAAATTCATGGTTCTCGGTATTGGACCAAGGAAAAGCATACCATCAAGGTTTTATGAGAGAGGAGAGCTATGCCCTAACTGCCTTTATAACCCCTTGGGGCTTATATGAATGGGTTAGAATCCTATTCGGTCTTTGTAATGGCCCCAGCGGCATTCCAAAGATTCATGGAAAGCTTTTTGGATGACTTGCGCGACACAATATGTATATCGTATCTTGATGACGTCATCGTATTTAGTGTCACGTTCGAGGATCATGTAGAACATCTTCGGAAGGTATTTCAGCGTTTAAGGCAACATGGGGTAAAGCTAAAACCCCCAAAGTGTAAGTTGTTCGAGAGAGAAGTAGTGTTTTTGGGACGTATTGTTTCAGAAAGCGGTTATCGAATGGATCCTGCAGGGTAGAGGTTATCCACAATTTGAAGTCGTCCCATCCAGAAAACGTTGGTGATATTAGGCGTTTAATGGGACTGCTAAATTGCTATCGGAGATACATTCCAAATTTCTCTAGAAAAGCGAAACCAATATACGATCTAATTAAGAGTGACGGTGTAGAGACAGGAAATAGCAAACGTGATATGAAATCGAAAGGACAGTTACCTTCTAGTACTATTGTGCAATGGACTAACGATCATCAACTCATCCTTGAAGACCTGTTAGATCATTTGGTTGACCCACCTGTGATGGCTTACCCAGATTTTACCAAACCGTTTATTGTGTGCACTGACGCGCCTGAAGAGGGACTGGGAGCCGTCATGTACCAAAGTCAAAACGGTGAAACAAGAGTTATTGCGTATGCTTCTCGAAGCTTGATACCCGCCGAAAGAAATTACCATCACCATTCGGGCAAGTTGGAATTTCTTGCACTTAAAGTGGGCGGTCTGTGACCATTTTCGGGACTATTTGTATTATGCCTCGGAATTTACAGTCTATACTGACGACAACCCACTCACGTACATCTTGTCTTCTGCAAAACTTAATGCAACGGGTTTACGTTGGATCGAAGAACTGGCAGATTTCAATTTTACTATCAAGTACCGCCCCGGTAAAGTGAACACTGATGCAGATGCGCTGTCAAGGTTGTTGGCAAATGTCGATAGTTACATGGAGATGTGCACCGAGGAAATTGCAATGGATTCTCTCCAAGCCGTAGAATCATCAATTTGGGAACAGCAAGCGAGTAACATCAGCTGGATCACAGCTTTTACTACAAATCAGGATGTGTTAGAAGAAGATATGAAGCACATTAACAGTGTTTCCATGAACACCATTTCTTGTGACGAGATTGCACTTGCCCAAAGAGACGACACAGAAATTAGCAAAGTGATCAATGGACTGAATCGAAAGAGAGACCTACTTTGGAAAAAACATCTAGTGAATCACGCTATACATGGTACCTCCCGCACGAGTGGAACAAGTTGGAATTGGACAAACATGGATTACTTCGGAGAAAAAGTGGTTTGAAGAATCAAATAGTCTTACCTAAAAAGCTTCATTGGTTGGTGTACGAGGACGTTCACGAGAAAATGGGCCACTTAGGAGCAGATAGGGTACTAGAACTTGCCCGTTCTCGGTTCTATTGGCCGCACATGCAGAGAGATGTAGAATCATACATTTCACATAAATGTCGGTGTGTGAAGCAAAAAGTTCTTACTTTCCAAACTAGGGCACCATTACAGTCCATTACAACAACTGCTCCATTCCAGATGGTGTCTTTAGACTTTGTTCATCTTAAGAAAAGTAGTGGCGGTTACGAGTACATCTTGGTTATAATGGATCATTTTACCCGTTACGCACAAGCCTATGCAACCCGAAATAAATCAGCTAAGACAGTGGCGGAAGAGTTATATAATGACTTTATTTTGCGTTTCGGTTTTCCAGAAAAACTCCATCACGA